TCCAGGCAGGCTGCGAGGAAACCATCGAGGCCACCGTGCGCAAACGGAGATTGTGTTTCGCGGGCTTTGTTATGCGCATGGAGGACAGCCGCCTCCCCAAGCGCATGCTGTTAGGAGCGATGGCGGGGGGCGTGTGATACCGGGGCGGGCAGGAGAGCGACTGGGTCTCGTCTAGGAGAGGACCTCGTGGCCTTCAACATGGGAAACGACAAGGAAGGGGGGAAATGGAAAGAGAGCGCCAGGGACCCGGAGGTTTGGTACAACAAGGTCGAGGACGGGGCGGCATGGCTCATGAGGAAATGGCACAGGCAGGAGGCGCAGGCTCCGCGAAGCGCCAGCGCGCGAGGGAAGCAGAAACAGCGAGTACGGCCATCTCAGGACCGAAGAGCAAGAGAGTCGGGGAAGCGGCGGTGGGGGGGAAGAAACGGCGACCAGGCACTGCTGTAGAAGCGAGTAGGGCGGTCGAGGCAGCACTTGTGACGAACCATGTACCCGGCTGATGTTGTTGCGCCCTGTTTCCCTCCCTGCTGTATGCTATACTCCTCGATGTATGTCCTTTGTATTGCCTTCGACTTCTGTGCTGTGTTTCTGTGTTTCTTTTTTTCATGACCTCCCTGCCTACTCTGCTTGCTGTGTTGGGTGCCTTGATCTCGCTTTTGCTGTTGCCTATCTTTTTGTACGTCTGACTGTCTGCCCATCTGCCGCCTCTTTGTCCTGTCTGCTCCGTTACTCCCATGCCCTGGTGCATAGTGCCTGGTGCTGGTACGTTACCCTTTGATTTTTTCTTTGGGCGGGTGTGGGAAGCATCCTCCTTTATTTTTGTGTTTTTATTTTATCGGTTTCCGAGGGCTCTTTTCTCGAACAGTCGGTGCGATACCCGTTCTTTCCTTCCTATCATTTTGTTTTCTGTTCCGAGTGCTTTGTACCTTATTTTTGTTATGTTTCCCCGCGGCGTCGTATGTGCCGGGTTGTGAGATCACGGGCTCCCTTTTTTCTGTGCACTACAGAGTTAATGTGAGAAACAACAACAACAACGACAACAGAAGAGTCCCTCTCTACCCTCCCCTCCAGCGGTGCTTTGCCTTCGAGTTTGAATGCGAGAAGAGTTCCGCGCTCTCCTCCCTCTGTGTACACCCGAACAAGCGCTATCCACTAGGCCAGGAGAGGAAGCGAAGGAAAAACTCGCTTTGCAAGAAAAGCTCGCTGACGCCGGGATTCGGACCCCTGACCTGACCTCTAGCAGATGTCGACGTTACCAACTAGACCACCGGGGCGACCGGTGAGTAAATGGCACAAGACAAGATTAAAAAACATGTGAATGGGGATTAAGAGGAGGGGTGCTCCGTTTTGGTCATGATAGCACATTCTTCTTTATTAGTATAAAGCAGGAGTTTCCGCCTCAAAACTGCTCGCGCAAAGATGCATGTGCATACGCGGATGTACATACGACGATATAAGAGCTTTGATACCAGAGGTGGCAAAAATCCAGTTTCATTGACCTTTCAATAAAACGACCTCGTGGATTCAGGGAAAAAAAAACTTATCAACGTCGTGCCGTGCCCGTTGTCCTTTTCTATTCATAGTCTTCATCACTCCTGCAAGGGGAAGAGACCAAAACAGAGTGGACAACTTGGACAACGGGAGCAAAAATCAAACAGGGAGGGCAATTCGTGAAAAAGATTTTATCTTTCTTAGTGGTGGTAAACATGAACACAGCAGCAGCAGCAGCAGCAGCAGCAGCAGCAGCGGGGAGTGAGGAGGCGATATCACACCCCGTCGCTTGGAACAAAAAGTGCCCTGAGTAAGAAAAAGAATTTACGCACGATCATAATCAAATCTGGCTGGATACCAGATGAAAACGGAAGGGTACGGGCGGTCCATCAACATGTTAACAGGAAGTTTCCCAAACGAACCAGACACGCATGGTGGATGTATGAAAACATCATTGGCAGCGCACCCGTTGTGGAATGGCATGCTGCATAAGGAGGACAGCCTGAGATGTCCACAGCAGCAGCGGCAGCAGCAGCAGCAGCAGCAGCAGCAGTAGTAGTGGTGAGGGCTATTTGTTCATCTACGCTCGGCGGTTCAAAAGAGACAAAAACCCAGCAGGTAACTCTGTCAGCAGGGCCTCTGCGTGCTTCGGAAGCGGGGGACCGCCCGAAAAAAACAGAAGTTATGCATTGATTTCCACCACACATGAAAAGACGACAGAAATAATCGAAGGCGGTCGGCACACCCCAGGCGGTTCGTGCTGGTATGCCTTGATGATGATGATAGACATGTACCAGGGCGTCTTTTCGCGACCCAAGCCACGCTGCCGCCTTTTAACGGGAAAACATTCACCCACACCATGGAGGGGGTCGTTGTTGCCAACGCAACGCGCAGCCTTATGCCACATGCGACGCGGTCTCTCGGAATAATTAATACATCGTGGGCGACCGGCGCGCTCGCTACTTCCTCCATGGCCAGTTTTGTTTGCTGCTCCATCGGGGAGGGACAAAGCAAAGTAATCCTCAAGGTCATCATTAGGTAGATTGGAGTTGGTGACCAGCGAACAACAGGAAGAAGCCGTTTGTTTGTGGGGCCAAAGAGCGGATGTGATTCATTCACTAAAGCAACATACGTGAGAGCCGGAAGTTACGGGCCAAAACGAACGTCCTCGTTGGGAGCATGAATTGACAAGCGCGGATTGCGGATTATTTGCTCTCTCTCGGTCCTCTCGCTCTCTCTCAAGCAGAAGAGGGAGGCGCGGGAAATGGAAAAATACTTCTTCCTCTCACACGACACGCACCTGATACAAGAGGTCCCCGGCGGCGTTCGTGCAGGAGTGCACCACGTTAAGCGATCCCCCTAACACGTCCTCGTCCGTATGATCGAGCAAGTTCTCCACACGGAGCTCACAGTCGACCTCTCCCGCCGCATAGACTTCCGCGTTCACCACAGTTCGAACGCATCCTGCGTCGCATGGTCCCCCAGGCTCGATATCTGCCGCCACGATGGCGTCGCTCGTGCTTCCCAGTCTGCGCAGGACGCCCAGGCAAGCGGGCGCGCCGAACGCGACGAGAAGCAAGGCGGCTCGGGCAATGGACCAGCCAAACGCGGCTGCTGCTGCTGATGATGATCCGCCCAACCTCACCGCAGGGCCACAAGGGCTGCCCCTTCTACCGCCTAATCGAATCACCATTTGTTGCTCAGCGGTTGGAGAGTAAGCCTGCGGCTGGCCCCCCGAACGATGTCTGCAAGCAGCCCACGAGCGCGCTTCTCCGCCTGGCCACGGCCCCTTCTCCAACCCCTCTGGTTGTGTGCCTTTCTGTCGATTTCCACTCTTGCCACACCACTACTTGTGTACGATCATGCGATCAATGGTGTTATTCCATCGACAGCCTGCCCCCNCCCCCCCGCCCCCCCGTAAAGATCCACATGATTTGTTGTTGTTGTTGTTGTTGTTTTCTTCACATTTAAACCGTTCCGAGCTCTCTCTACCCAGTACCTTCGTATGTCCGTACTGATCCAACAGTCGACGCGGTCAATTCCCGTGGTGCCAGGCTAACATACCATAAAAGGGTACACTCAAATAAACTGGCCCCGAGGGGTCCGCAAGTCAATTGAAATCAAGGACAATTTAATATTCAGGAGTTCTCCACCCCCTCTGCGCGCTATACGAGGTAACAACTGAGACTAGGAGTCACCATCACGGGGCGGACAGAAAGAGGTACACCCCCTTGGTTCAATTTTGGTACTTCACAACGCAAGCGTGAGTTGTTGTTGTTGTTGTTGTTGTTGTTGTTGTTGTTGTTTCTCACAATAGCTCTATAGTCCACTCAAAATTCGGAGCCCGTAGTCTCAAAACCCGGCACATACGACGCCGCGCGAAAAAAAAACAAAAATAGGGTACAAACAACTCGGACGAAGAATTTAGTATTGATAGTCGTTGCGTTGGTAAATAAGGTATGATATCCTACATGCGATCTCGAATTGCGTAAGATTTGTCTACACTCCCGATGGACGACTTTGGTACTCTAAAAGAAAGCACAAGCAGAGACGGTGCCGAAAAACGGTGGCGTTGGAACCGATCCCATCGAGGAATCTCCGTCCCTATGTTCATTAGGTGACGCTGGATCACTTTCACTTTTTTAGGAGCAATCGAGATCCCTGTACATTGGCCCGTAGCGGCAGCAGGGGGAGTGATGTCTGATGCAACCGTTGAAATCACGGAGCGCAGATGCCCTCTTCAAGTATCCGATATATTGCTGTTCTCGTTTTGGGGATACAGTACTGTTTTCCCAAGGAGGCGTTGATATAGTTGGTGCAGTCTTCGCTCGTGTGAGTAGCATCTCTTGGCTGCACGCGGTGTCAGCATCACCATCCGATCTCCGCCAACGCGCGCGCACCCACCCGTCAGAACTTTTGAGAGGTGAGGCTGCTCGCGCTGACTTTTGACGAACTTTCGATGGCGATGTTCCTGGAAGCTATGTAGCTGTGTATGTTCTGAGGCCACGGGTCCATCCCGCTCTCTTGTTTTACCAACCACGACACACCCGTTCTCGGCCTGTTGACCCCGCGCCCGTGCCTCACGCTTCTCATCGCTACACAGGAAGCACGAAAGCGAAGAAGTGGAGACTGGTAACGTTGGTCGTCATCATCGCGCTCAGTTGGGTGTTTGGTGAGTGTCCGAGCGCCGATTGTCCGTCGTGACAAATGCAGGGTCGTGAAATATCGGATTTGAAAAATGGAATTCTTCCCCGCTCCTGCTGTTCTCGGCCCTGTCGTCATCTACACACATGCGCGGCACTACAGCCCACCGCAACGCTGGGCTTACCCATTTCTGACTTGACACGCTCCGCCAACAACCTAGTTGTTCTTCCTTCGGGTAGAGGTGATCGAAGCTTGCTGAGAGCTCCGAGGTTCTACGTGTTCGGGTGTACACGTTCCAAAGCACCATCTCCCGAAATATTTGATTTTTGTCCCCATGACATTTTTTTCGAACAATCGACGGGTCCCCACCCTGGACTCTTGCCAGTTCCCCGGGCACACAACCGCGCCGTGCGGCCGTTGCTTTTGTGGGGTTTTGTCTGTCCCTACTTCGGGGCGGATGTGTCGGCGTGGTCGTGACTGGCCACACGAGGTGTATCACGTCGGTGCCGACTCTCCCCGAAAACGGAATATCGGTACGCAGTATTGGCAGCCCATCCATACAGCAGTTCTTTACCGGTGTTGCAAGAGACGCCTTCACGTTGACGGCAGCAGGTCGGCAATGAGTGTCGCCTCTGGTTCATGTCCATAGATGACTCAATGATGCATATACTTTCACACGCTCCATTTGTACCACTTCTGCTGTTAGTCTCTTCAAATACAAACAAACCATGCATTAGTGACGGCATACATACGGGGTCGCCGCATATGACCCCACACGAAACGTTTTGTACAGCAGTGGTACGTACCTATCTGATCAGTGTTCCCACATGTCATGCGATCGCCGCTCAACAGCTTATATCCCCGGCCAGGGCAAAGCAGCGCCAAAAATGAAAACGAATAAAAGCACTTCAGCAGTAGTCTTGTCATAAAGCTCGGCCTAAATAGCCCGCCGCACGGCTACGATACATCATTAGCTTGGTTTCTGAGAGGTGGGCGGGTCTACAGCGCTACAGCAATAATAGCCAGGTACTAGGGGTCTTTTGGGCTACACTACTGCTTGATTTACCCTATCTTCCCTTCGCTGCCCGGGCAAGGTTTTGCGTAGGCATGACCCATAGCGAGGGGGGGAGTATTTCTAGCGAGCAGGGCTAGACTCACCCTCAAGGGACCGATACCTTCTTGCTGCGGCGCACCCGCCGCGAGG